GATTATATCTACTAATTATAAAGTTATTTTTTATTTGGGCAGTAAAGTGTCCCTTTAATGTTGAATGGAAAGACATTGCCAGGGGAGTGGCAACAATATAACTACTTCAATGAGATGAAGCTGTTACAGTGCCTACAGTGTCCCTTTAATGGGAGCAACTTCAGAACCATAAATCGTCTTCTGAGAACAGCTTGCCGTAGTTTTTACAGTACTGGAGCTTGAGTAATGGAGTACTGGAGTTTGAGCAATATGACACACATTGGTAGAGGCGGCTCTCTATAATTAGGTCATTTAGGCGGCTGCCTATTATGGCTCCTCTCCTGTCTCCCTCCCTGCCTGTGGAGGCACATAGCGCTGGCACGGGGGTTAAGGTGCGCCCAGGCACACCCCGTGCGCACATCTGAAGACAGTGATTTGGGCACAAAAATGGCTATTTGGACACAAAAGTGGCACTGATAAGATGGGGACAAAGATATTTTGAAACTAAGCTGGCACTAATTAGCTATATTGGGACAGAGAGATGTCACTGATTAGCTATATTGAGACACAGATGGCACTGATTAGCTATATTGGGACAGAGATGGCACTGGTTGTATTGGGACAGATATGGCACTGATTAGCTATATTGGGACAGAGATGGCACCGATTAGCCATATTGGGACAGAGAAGGCATTGGTTATATTGAGACAGATGGCACAGCTGTATTGGGACAGAGAGATGGCACAGATTAGTTACATTGGGACAGAATTGGCACCGATTAGCCATATTGGGACAGAGAATTGGCGCTGATTAGCTATATTGGGACAGAGAGATGGCACTGATTAGCTATAGTGGGACAGAGATGGCACTGATTGGATATATTGGGACAAAGTTGGCACTGGGAAGCTGGGCACAATTTAGCTATTTGGGGGCAAAGTTGGCACTGTAGGAAGTGAGTGACATGTGACCTGGGTTGGATGTGGAGTGATTTCCATAGAAAATGGGTGTGGTTAGAAGTGTTATCTTGAAAAAGGCCCGGTAGGGTCGAAACGTCGATTTTTTTACTGTATGCCTAAACACTAAATAAGTCACATCGTATTTTCTTTTGAAGACCTGTGTGTGCACCCTGGTTTATTTTTGTGTGTGTGTATAAACACACACACACACATATATACACATATATATATATATATATAAAAATTATATAGGATGTATATGTGAAAGTATTATAGACTATGTAGGGAAAATGTCTACGAAACCCTTTTCTTATCTTCAAATTTTGTAAAATTTTTTTAAGTTTAATTTTTGATTCAAATAACCCCTTCACACTAGCACGACTGTCAAGCTATACAACCATACCGTGTGTATAAACGATTAGCATAACAGCAAATTAAATTTGTTTATTGCAAATTAATTTATTTTGCAAATTATGCCATAATTCAGTCAGAGAGCTCTCAACGCAGAGGCACAGGGAGCCGCGACACTGCAAGCCTCTGAACAATAAATACAGAGACTAGCTCTCTGTATTCTGCTCTGCAAGCCCATCCTTCAATACAACTACAGCTACTTTTCCCACACACACACACACACTTTGGGTATGAGTGGGGGCCCTCACGTTGAGTTTCGCTTAAGGCCTCACAAAGTCTAGAGCCGCCACTGCAGATTAGAACTATCCTTTCAAGCTGGCCGATCTGCAAAACAGGGGACAGGAGAAGCAAATTTATTGTCAAACCTTATAAAGAAGGTCAATGAGTGGTTACAATGTTTGGAAAACCCTGTAAAGTCTGTCACTTCTCTGTATTTTATCAAGGCAAAATCTTTATGAAATACTCATGGACTGTTTGTCTTATGGGCAATCCTGAGGTTCACAAAACGGAGGAGCTTCACTCTAAACTCCAATTCCAGCAAGTGGCACAAGCGATGGCTGTGAGAATCAGGCAATGAGTCTCCATGGTTGAGAAGTCATCTATGGGGGCTCTTGCTATTCTCCATAGACCTCAGAGTTGTACTCTCACACGGGCATAAAAGTACATCAGTGACACGACAGATGAAGCACCAGGGGCTGAAGAAGGCCCCCGGAAAGAATATGGCAGCAGTGAAGGCCTGCACTGCATCCTGCAACCACTGCACCCTAAACGGAGAGGTCACCTTTGGGATTTTTGCACAATATACAAAGCCCCTGAAAGTGACAGATCTGCTTTAATAATCAAATTAACAAAATTACTTCTGGAAAAGCAAGTATATGATGCTCATAAAAAATCAACAGTTGCCATGGTCCATGTTGGTACCAATGACAAAATGAGAGAAAATGGTCCTAAAGAATGAGTTTAGGAAACTAGAAAGTAAGCTAAAGAAAAGGACCTCCAAGGTGGTATTTTCAGAAATAGTACCTGTGCCGCACGCGACAGCTGAAAGGCAGAGGGAGATTAGAGTGGTCAATGCGTGGCTTCTTGGTGCAGGAAAGAGGGTTTGGGGTTTTTAGAGCACTGGGCTGATATTGCGTTCGGGTACAACCTGTATAGTCATGATGGATTGCACCTAAACGGGAGAGGGTCTGCTGTGCTGGGGGATAGGATGGCTAGAAGGTTGGATGAGATTTTAAACTAGTGGTAGGGGGGGGGGAGGGTCAAAGCAATCTAGAAAATGGAGATAGGATGGAAAGGAGATGGGCTTTAACTCAGCATAAGGGGGGTGCAGATGGGGGGGAGGGGAAATCTCAGAACAGGGAGGTATGTAATATTGATAAAAATTCACAAAAAGTACAAGTGACTCATAATAAATGTATGCTTACTAATGCAAGGAGCCTATATAACAAAATGGGGGAACTAGAGGCAATAGCATACACTAAATAATATGATATAATAGGCATAACAGAAACATGGTGGGATGAGACACATGACTGGGCAGTTAACTTAAATGGGTAGACGTTATTTAGGAAGGATAGGAAAAACAAGAAGGGTGGTGGGGTATGTTTATATGTCAACCATGAGTTAAAGTCAAATCTTAGGCATGTGGAGTGTGACGAGGAAAATGTGGAAGCTTTATGGCTAGATATTTGCTTGGGTCAAAAGAAAGGCCGCAAAGCAGTCCTTAAGACTGCCCGAGTGTTCAGGCAGTACCCCTAGTGTCTGAAAAACAAAATAAAGTTAGTAAAACACATTCAAATAATATATTATACATATATAATTTATTATAAGGTAACTAAAACACCTGATTAGCATATTACACATATAATACATAATTGAATTCTTACTGTATTTTGGTATAAATACACTTCGAATTAAATTATATGTGTATAATATGCTAATCAGATGTTTTAATGAACTTATATATTATACATATATTACAAAATATACATAAAATAAAAATTCGCCCCCAAAAAATGTAGTCATAAGCGTAACTTGATACAAGTATTAGATAGGAAATATATATTATATTTTCTCTCTCTCAAAATACACTTAGAATTATAAATATATATATATATAAATAAAATATATATGTATATATTTTTCATGTACATTTACATAATTCTATTAATTCTAATTCAAGGGACCTGTCTGACAACCCAGGCAGAAAGTCCATTGAATTTAATTTACAAGCCCTATATTTAACCCTGTAACTTTTCATAACACCATAAAACCTGCACGTGTGGGCTACCGTTGCACTTGTGAGACTTTGCTAAACACAAATATGAGCGTTTTAAAAACTTTAAACTTGTAATGATGATATCAGTGAAAGTGAAGTATTTGTGTAAAAAAATAAAAATAAAAAAAAAATTATGAATTATATTATGAAAACTAACTTTGACTAGCGTTTGTGATTAAGTGGCTACTACAAAAGACTGGACATACCCAATTCTGAATACTCTGGGTTGTCTACTTTTGTAAATGGTATGCCATAATGGGGGTAATTCTCATTCCTTGACTGCCTCAATAGGCTCAGCAAACCAATCTGGCAAACTGAAATGGGAAAGCCCTATATTTGTCCCCGTAACCTTCCAAAATACCATAAAACCCGTACATCCCCCCGGTGTACTGCTTTACCCGTGAGGAATCCCTGAACATAAATATGAGTGTTAGAGCAGTAAAACCTATATTGACAATGATAATGAAAGTGCAGGGTTTTTTTTTTGTGAAAAATGCAAAATAAAATAAAAATTATGAAGGCTAACTTTGTCCAGAGTTTGTGACTAAGTGGCTACTAAAAAGACTGGACATGCCCCATTCTGAATACCCTGGGTTGCCTACTTTTGTGAATGGTATGCCATGATGGGGGTAATTCTCATTTCTTGACTTCCATATTTCCTCAATGGCAACATAGGCTCAGCAAATCAATCTGGCAAACAAATGGAAAAGCCCTATATTTGTCCCCAGAACCTTCCAAAACCCCATAAAACCTGTACACCGGGGGGTGCGGATTTACTCATAAGACATCGCTGAACACAATGATGAGTGTTTTAGAGCAGTAAAATGTATATTGACAATGATATAATCAATGAAAGTGCAGTGTTTGTGTGAAAAATGCAAAAAGCTAATATGAACACTAACTTTGGCCAGGGTTTGTGACCAAGTGGCTACTACAAAAGACTGAACATACCCCATTTTGAATACCCTGGGTTGTCTACTTTTACAAATGGTATGCTGGGGTTAATTTTCATCCCTGGACTGCCATACGGTCCCAAAGGCAGCATAGGCCCAGCAAACAAACATGGCAAATTTCAATCTGCAAACATTAAAAAGAGGAAGCCCTATATTTGACCCTGTAAAACACCATAAAACCTGTACATAGTGGGTACTTTTGTACTTGTGAGACATTGCTGAACACAAATATGTTTAACTTATTGCAGTAAAAACAGTATTATGATATGAACAGTTAAAATGCCATGCAGAACTTAAACAATTTTTTTTACACATTTTATTCATATTAAATTATGTTTCATATATAAATATTTGATTTGAAATGAAAGCCCTGTTTCTCCTGAACAAAATGATATATAATATGTGTGGGCATACGTAATGTGAGGTGAATTATGGCTGAACAGTGGCTAAACTAGAAAATGAGAAATTGATAGCCAAAGAATCCAAAACCAACTCCAAAAACTTTCAAGTAGATCAATTCTAAAAAAAATAAATAAAAAAAAAATTAAATTCATGAACGTGTAGGTACACTGGAAACAGATGGGTCTGTTAGCTAATGAAGACCAGGAAAAGGCAGACATTTTAAATTAATATATACTGAAGAAAAATAGTTATGAGAATCCTATGGCGAGAGATATGCAAATGATTGCTGCAAAAAAAATGTGATTGGATGACTCAAGACAAGGCGCTACAGCAGTTAAAGAAAATTAATGTAAATAAAGCTCGAGGGCCTGAAGGTATTCACCCACGAGTACTTAAGGAGCTAAGTGGGGAAATAAGTGAACCTCTGTATTTAATCTTTCAGGAATAGAAACATAGAATGTGACGGCAGATAAGAACCATTCGGCCCATCTAGTCTGCCCAATGGATTGTGCTGGAGGATTGGAGGAAGGCAGAGGTTGTTCCTATATTTAAAAAGGATTCAAAATCCGTGCCTGGAAATTATAGACCTGTGAGCTTAACTTCTGTGACTGGGAAAGTAACTGAATGGCTACTGAGTGGTAATATTCAGGAATTCACTGGGAGGAGCAATGTTATTAGCAATAATCAGCATGGTTTTATGAAAATGGTCATGTCAAGCTAACCTAATTGCATTCTACGAAGACATAAGTTGAAGTATAGATCAGGGTGTTGCAGTGGATGTGATCTACTTGAATTTTGCCAAAGCATTTGATACGGTTCCTCACAATAGGTTAGTGTTCAAAGTAAAAGAAATTGATCAAGATGATTACTCTTGTTCTTGGGTAGAACAATGGCTTAAAGGGATACTATAGGTCACCAGAACAACTACAGCTTAATGTACAATATACAGTTTAATGTAGTTGTTGTGGTGAGTATAATAGCTCCCTTCAGGCATTTTTATGCAAACACTGCCTTTTCAGAGTTTACATTTTTCCTGGGGACACCTCTAAATGACCACTCCTTAGATGGCCACTGGAGGGTCTTCCTGGCTCAGTGCTGCACACTGAGCAGCCCTGCTGTTCAGCGTCTCCACGCTCTGCATGGGGCTGCTAAATTTTTCTCATAGAGATGCATTGATTCAATGCATCTCTATGAGGTGCTGATTGGACAAAACAGTGTTTGGCTCTGCCCCTTGCCGATTTTAGGCAATAGAATGTTTTTTTTTCCATGGGAAAGCATTGGATTGGCTAAAAATAGGCAATTTTGAGGTCACCAAAGGGGGGGGGGGTAGCCCTGTGGAGAGCTGGAAATAAGGTGATTAAACTCCTAAATGGCAGAGAATTGGGCAGTGAGGCTGCAGGGACATGATCTATACACCAAAACTGCTTCATTAAGCTAAAGTTGTTTTGGTGACTATAATGTCCCATTAATGTAGAGAAATGCAACGTTATGCACTTCGGGGTAAAGAATGCACAAGCATCTTTTTCCCTAATGGTAGTGAATTAGGGAAGGATTTGGGAATTGTTATGGACAGCAAATTAGGCAGAAAATTGCAAAATTGGAAGCGCTTCAGACTGGGTTTTTTTGCCTTCTTTTAGATCAACAGCAAAAACATATGTGAGGAAGGCTGAACTTGATGGACACAAGTCTCATTTCAGATATGGAACTATGTAACAGTTCTCGGCTCTCTGACTATCAGAGTGAATAAAATAAAAAGCAAGGATTCAAAAACCGTCAGAGTAATGGGCTGGGCTAGAGTTTGGTCACCCAGGATATAGGCTACCTATGCTGAGCTCTTAAATCACATGAACACAGCACTAAATGCAACCACTTAACAAGTTCTTGCCAAAGACACTACCACCACTACAATACACACCACGTTTCTATAGAACATTTTTTTTATTCATTTTTACTTCTCTTACTTTTCTTGACAAAAAAAAAAAAGAAACTACATTTTTTCCCAGAAAACATTTAAATATGAAAAAAAACAAAAACAGTAAAAAAACAAAAACAGAAAACAAAAGGTAGGGAACTGCTTTTTGAAAAAGCAACATGGGACGAGCCAAAGGAAAGGCTCTGCAGGTCAGAGGACTGGGTCTGCACGAGTACCAGGGAAAAAGGAGATTAACAAAACAAACAAAAAAAAAAAAAATGAAGAAAAATGGTGGTCTCACTTCAGTCCAACATACAGGTGGGGGACCTGCAAAGTATCGGCAGAGACAGACCATATGCTCCACGAAGTTCCAGCAAGTTGTAAGCAGAGCAGACCCTCCACCCACAGGCAGCTCCTACTAGGGAGGGAGGTAAACACTTCTGCAGAGCTGGATTCTGGCTCAGTCCAGACATTAATCCCTCCTGGGGGGGCGCCCTCATACAGTCAGCTTGCAGTGACACAGCTCTTTGTAGATCTGACGTCTAAGTTTGGGCATATCCTGCTGGCCGAACGAGAACGGGAGACCAAGCGCCAGGTACTTGCAGTACTAACACAAAGAAATAGAAATAAGGTAAAAAATAATTTACCACCAAATCATAAAATTCCTAAGGTTCACAGGGTAATGGGGCCACTCTCACCTGCAATACAAACGCCCCACAATCACTGTCGTTATTCTGTCTTGCAATGTTCTGAAAGGGGAAACATAAGCCATTAGAAGGAGGAAAGTAACCGGAAGTGGGAAGCCATTCTATGTCCCATATCTCACCATCTTGAATAAGCCCTTCCAACCGTTGGCAAACTCTGGCAGGTTCTTCTTAATGGCCTCAGCCTGGAGATATTTGGCTATGTGCTGCGAAGGAGAATGTTCAGTCAATGTGGATACGATTGGACGATTTCACAAATGAGCTTTATGGCTTCAGTATGAAAGAAAATAGGAGTTTCTAAAGTGAATTTCCATGTTCTGGAATGATTGACTCTTCGGTCGCTGGTAATCTGTAGTATCTTTAGTGAGGTACTCAATCAAGCATGTATGGGAATGATTGCAGTAAGCTGGGAATGTTGTATGTTCATACAATTTGGAAAAGTAAAACAATGCTACTCGTTGGTGTGTTGCTTTCCTGCTGTGTAATGGCCAACGCTAAGGGCCAGCCATTGTAAGCTAAGATATGTAATAGCCAACGCTAGGGGCCAGCTATTGTAAGCTAGGATGTGTAATGGCTAACGCTAGGGGACAGCCATTGTAAGCTAGGATGTGTAATAGCCAACACTAGGGGCCAGCCATTAAAAGCTAGGATGTGCAATGTGCTAACCGTTACCTGAAGGGCAATTACTGCTGAAAAATTCAAAACTCAGTGTTAGCAGTGTGGGAGCCTTGTGCGACGGCTATACAAGCTGGGTGGGTTTACCTTTGGGCAACGTCTGTTCAGCGTGCGCTGGGAATCAAAGTAAGTGACTGTTCGCCTGGAAACATCCACACACACCAGGGACCAGTGAACCTCCAAGTGGATGGGAATTAGGAGCAGCTGTTTGTTAAATATTTCAACCTGGTGAAAGAAGACATGACAAAAACCAGTCACAAGGAATGGACCAAAACGGTCTAGACACCAGGCAGGTATATTGCAGCGGGGGAGTCAGGCGGAGCAGGTTTATGCAGGCAGGGAGATTGCAGGAGAAGATGGATCATGATGAGTACAGGCAGACGGAGCACTAGGGAGAATAAGTTCACGTAGGTGACAGTTACACAGAGAGGGGTGGAGTAGATGACACTGGTCAGATCTAAGAGATAGCAGGTATGAGAAGGAAATTAGGTGGTGGGAAGTAGAGACAGTACAAGTGGAAAACATGCTTACATTTTTAGTCCAGCGCTTAACTCCTTCATATCCTTTTGTTCGCAGCTTGTCATAGAAGAAGCTATTGAAGAAGTGAACCTGTGGAATGCCATGTCATATTAAGTCAACTCCTCACCAGCAACAACAGAACACATGGACTCCTGACCTCCCCACCAGCAGCAACAGAACTCACGGACCCCCTGACCTCCCCACCAGCAGCAACAGAACTCACGGACCCCCTGACCTCCCCACCAGCAGCAACAGAACTCACGGACCCCCTGACCTCCCCACAAGCAGCAACAGAACTCACGGACCCCCTGACCTCCCCACCAGCAGCAACAGAACTCACGGACCTCTGACCTCCCCACCAGCAGCAACAGAACTCACGGACCCCCTGACCTCCCCACCAGCAGCACACAGAACTCACGGACCCCTGACCTCCCACCAGCAGTACATGGACCCCTGACTCCCCCACAAGCAGCAACAGAACCCACGGACCCCTGACCAGCAGCAACAGAACTCACAGACCCCCTGACCTCCCCACCAGCAGCAACAGAACTCCACGGACCCCTGACCTCCCCACCAGCAGTACATGTGGACCCCTGACCTCCCCACAAGTAGCAACAGAACCTACGGACCCCCTGACCAGCAGCAACAGAACTCACGGACCCCCTGACCAGCAGCAACAGAACTCACGGACCCCCTGACCTCCCCACAAGCAGCAAGAGAACATGTGGACTCCCTGACCTCTCCACCAGCAGCAACAGAACTCACAGACCCCCTGACCTCCCCACCAGCAGTACACGTGGACCCCCTGACCTCCCCACCAGCAGCAAGAGAACATGTGGACTCCCTGACCTCCCACCAGAAGCAAGACAACATGTGGACCCCCTGACTTCCCCACCAGCAGCAACAGAACACGTGGACCCCCTGACTTCCCCACCAGCAGCAACAGAACACGTGGACCCCCTGACTTCCCCACCAGCACTGACAAATTCCAAAACAATCATTTTAGGATTTAAAGGAACATTCTAAGCAAAGCAACTTTTTCTTAATGAAGCAGTTTTGGTGTATAAATCACACCCCTGCCATCTCACGGCTTAATGCTCTGCCATTTAGGTGTTAAATCACTAAAGTCCAACCCAGAACTCCCTTGCCTGAGACTCCGTCTCCCTACACACTCCATGAAAAATGGTTAGAATATTTCTTTAGCTTCCCTTATGACAGAGTGTGTTTAATGTAGACTTGCTTATTTCCTGCTAAAGCGTCCTGTGTGTGTTTAGAGTTAAATTCAAAGTCCATAAAAAAAAAAACTTAAAAAAAAAACTTCTAAAATAAACACATTGTGCCGTAAGATGGCATTGAAAATTAAACCATTTTGTGACTGGGACTGCATAAACTACAGTGCTGTAACTCAAATGGCAGATAATTGGACAGTGAGACTGCAGGGGCATGATCTATACACCATAACTACTTCAATAAACTAAATTGTTTTGGTGCTATACTAGATATACTAACCTTGTCTGGTACAGCATCCATTACTAAATCTCCATACATGTTCATTACCTAAAAGAAAAATTAAAATCACTGCTTTTTCCAATTTTGTTGCAGCGAATTGGGAATAGGTTTATGAACTCCCACACACAGCTCTGTCACTACACCTCCATCCTGCCCTGCAGCTCTCTCTGCTATTCCTGTACTGACCCCACACACAGCTCTGTCACTGCACCTCCATCCTGCCCTGCAGCTCTCTCTGCTATTCCTGTACTGACCCCACACACAGCTCTGTCACTGCACCTCCATCCTGCCCTGCAGCTCTCTCTGCTATTCCTGTACTGACCCCACACACAGCTCTGTCACTGCACCTCCATCCTGCCCTGCAGCTCTCTGCTATTCCTGTACTGACTACACACACACAGCCCTGTCACTGCACCTCCATCCTGCCCTGCAGCTCTCTGCTATTCCTGTACTGACCCCACACACAGCTCTGTCACTGCACCTCCATCCTGCCCTGCAGCTCTCTTTGCTATTTCTGTACTGACCCCACACACAGCTCTGTCACTGCACCTCCATCCTGCCCTGCAGCTCTCTCTGCTATTCCTGTACTGACCCCACACACAGCTCTGTCACTACACCTCCATCCTGCCCTGCAGCTCTCTCTGCTATTCCTGTACTGACCCCACACACAGCTCTGTCACTACACCTCCATCCTGCCCTGCAGCTCTCTCTGCTATTCCTGTACTGACCCCACACACAGCTCTGTCACTGCACCTCCATCCTGCACTGCAGCTCTCTCTGCTATTCCTGTACTGACCCCACACACAGCTCTGTCACTGCACCTCCATCCTGCACTGCAGCTCTCTCTGCTATTCTTGTACTGACCCCACACACAGCTGTCACTAGACCTCCATACTGCCCTGCAACTCTCTCTGCTATTCCCGTACTGACCCCACACACAGCTGCCACTAAACCGCCATCCTGCCGCACAGCCCTGTTTGAGTACCTGGTCATTGAGCCAGTTCTGCCCATACAGAGTCCCCAAATCGTCCATGCTTAGAACATGTCTCTTGTATGTAACACGGAAGCTGCGTACCAAGGCATTCCCAGGAAGACGCTGGTATGATTGGATTAAATGCTGCACAACTACTTTCCTGAAGAAAGCAGAAGAAATTGTTTAAAATATAAGGGTTCAATCAATCCACATCTCTCTTATAACAGAAGACTAAGTAATAAAAAAAAAAAAAAAAATTATAATATATATATATATATACATACATACATATACATATACACATACATACACCTTTCATAAAAACAGCATTTTCAAACTGTAGCTTTGTCTATAAATCAGTGGCATTCTCTCTGCTCACAATGACAACATGTAAGGAACTTCCTCCTGCCCAGAGATGGTATTTTACTCACGGTTTCTCGAGCCTAGATTTATTACAATACGTAGTCCATAAAGATACTGAAAGGCTTTGCTTCTCGAATGCCAGGAGCCCTCGGACATATTCTGCCAATACCATGTGTGGTGCTAGGACTATTAAACATCGTGATAGTCTCCCAACCGCTGGTTATTTGCCGTTACATAGCATTACCTTGCAGGTGTAGAAAACGATTGTTGAAAAACATCTTCAAGCTTTTCCATGACCTCCTCGGTTCCAACAGGTATGAGGCTCCCATATGTATGGAGAAACTGGTCGAGAAAACCTGTTGGACAAGGTGTATGCTAAAAACGAGGAATAAGACAGAATGGACAAAGCTGGCATTGGATACTGGAGGCATTGCTAGGTACAGGAGGAAGAAAGGTCAAGGCTGGTACTGGGGGGTATGAATGAGAAGGATAGAAAAGGACAACACTGCTGCCAGGCACGGGGAGGGAAAAACCACAGTAAAGACAATGCTAGCAATGGAACCTGGAAAACACTAGTGGAGCTAGAAAGAATGGAGAATGGGGAAGGCTGCCGCCGCTAGTGCTGGAGGGCCAGGGGAAGGCTGCCGCCGCTAGTGCTGGAGGGCCAGGGGAAGGCTGCCGCCGCTAGTGCTGGAGGGCCAGGGGAAGGCTGCCGCCGCTAGTGCTGGAGGGCCAGGGGAAGGCTGCCGCCGCTAGTGCTGGAGGACCAGGGGAAGGCTGCCGCCGCTAGTGCTTGAGGGCCAGGGGAAGGCTGCCGCCGCTAGTGCTGGAGGGCCAGGGGAAGGCTGCCGCCGCTAGTGCTGGAGGGCCAGGGGAAGGCTGCCGCCGCTAGTGCTGGAAGGCCAGGGGAAGGCTGCCGCCGCTAGTGCTGGAGGGCCAGGGGAAGGCTGCCGCCGCTAGTGCTGGAGGGCCAGGGGAAGGCTGCCGCCGCTAGTGCTGGAAGGCCAGGGGAAGGCTGCCGCCGCTAGTGCTGGAGGGCCAGGGGAAGGCTGCCGCCGCTAGTGCTGGAGGGCCAGGGGAAGGCTGCCGCCGCTAGTGCTGGAGGGGCAGGGGAAGGCTGCCGCCGCTATTACTGGAGGGGCAGTGGAAGGCTGCCACCACTAGTACTGGAGGGGCAGGGGAAGGCTGCCGCCGCTAGTGCTGGAGGGCCAGGGGAAGGCTGCCGCCACGAGTACTAGAGGGGCAGGCTGCCGCCACGAGTACTGGAGGGTTTAGGGGAAGGCTGCCGCCACGAGTACTGGAGGTCAGGAGAAGAATGCTTGTACTGGCTAAAGGAGAGTTAAGTCTGGAATAGGGAAAGGCTGGCCCTGAGTCCTAGAAGGGGACAGAGAGCATAGAACTAACCATATTCAAGGATTGGGTTCCAGTAATGGAAAGCGAATGAAGAACATACACTCACAAATAACAATATAGCTTAATCTGCAACTACACCCCCCCACTCCAGCCAGGGATGATGGAGCTGTAATCAGCAGACTCTAGGTAATAAACTCACTTTGTACACACGCCACATGTTCCTCTGTGAGCGCCGTGGGAGGCTCTTTTTCAGGAGGTGGAGATAGGTCATCCTGTGCGTGTGGCCCATTGGAGGTATGGCTGTCTTGGTTCCCCATGCTGCACACATTTGTGATGAGGATGGAGCCATGATCTGAGGGGAGGGGAGAGAATCCATTGGGGAGTCCAGGAGGGGGGCCTGAATTGACAAGAGAGACAACAGTGTGTTGAGGCTGGGAATTGGAGCCCGCTTTCGGGACAGAGTTTGGTGGTGGGAAAAGAGCAGGGGTTGAAATAGGTATGGAGATAATGGTAAACATCTTCTCACCTGAAGTTACTGCTAAATGATTTGCCTCCGATCCAGTTTCCAGGATGCCTTCCACATGTTGTGTCTTTCCCACTTCAATCCCAACTGAACCCCCCCCTTCCCTTCTCCTGAAGACTGGGCGCCTCCTCCGAACCCCCAGGCCTCCCCAAAGTTTCCAATAAAAAGGCAGTGTAACAGAGCGCTTATAGAGGCGAAGGTAGAGAGCGCGAAGAGCGCGCAGTTTCTGCCGCCTTCCTCTGTGTTGTCTGGGAGGAGGTGTGCATGACCTAAAGCTCATCTCCTCTTCCTCATCATCTTCTTCTGGCCTCCATCTTTCTTCCCTCCGGCCCTGGAATAGCTTATCCCGTCTTCCTGGGGGCAAGAGGGAGAATGGAGGCAGGTGGCGCTGAACTGGGGTGTGCCTCATCGTAGTGATCTGGGAACATAAAGACATGATATGTCAAGGATTAGTAACCAACATATTGTAATAGTCAGGCCCAATCCAATATCTCACACATACAGAAACCCCTTTTATAAGATACAAATGTACCCAAACTGCCGTTCTATCCAGAATCTTTCATCCTGGATCAAATACACAAAGAGCTCCACATTCAGCACTTTTTAAGGCGGAACCGTCACAGTGCATTCGCAAAGTCCCTTGCCACTGGGGATCCGGTGACTTGGAAGGGGGTGGATGGACAGATAAGGAGAGGTGCCGCCATCTTTCTCATGCTGCTTTTCTGAGCCAATGTCACTGCTGTACTCTTGCGCATGTGTGAGAGTACAGCATGGAAGTCTATGAGGATCCAGCATGATCCTCCATAGATGCAGCCAATACCCTGCAGCTGTTAGGAGTGACTCTTACTTTGCCTTGAGTCTAAGAAAGTCAGATGGAGGAGTTCCTACTTTGTCTTTGTATATCTCGATTAATTACAACCCAGTCAAAACGCGCATTTCATGTTGTTGATATCTTATGAAGTACTCAGTGTGTGTGTCAGTCAGTGCTACTTTATAATATATTCAACCTTTGGTACCAGATGTTGTGGACTACATCTCCCAAAATGCTTGCAAAGTATTAGGGGAGATATAACTTACAAGGTCTGGAGTGCCAATGTTTAACATTTAGAAAAGACAAATCCATCATTTTTCGACAATCTCCTTGCTTTTCAATACACTTTATTCAGCTATCAAACTTTCTTATTCCCTCATTAAAAATGGTTTTGGGCTGAGCTGCGAGCCACGGATGCACCTCTGTCTTCACTTCACCATCAGAGGTGAATCTGGTCCCCTGAGAGTAGCCTAACGAGGATGAACACAGGTGAACGTCTGATGGAGCAAGATCAGGACTATAGGGAGGATGTTTTAACACCTCAAAACCAAGTTTCTGCACGGTACAGACAGTGTGGGCAGAGGTGTGTGAACAGCATTGTCTTGGATAGCAGTCCTTGTTTAATCTGAAGTTTAGGCTTCAGTGAGCATCTCACTGTAACGAGCACTGTTGATTGTTGAACCTTTTTCCTGATATGCTCTCATGTGGACGAAAATAAACTCACAGCACCAATCAGAGAAACTAGCAAACTTCCAGCATCTGCAAAACTCTTCCCAAACCAGGGAGAGGCTGCACCAGCCAGAGGCCTGTCATACTTTATTCTGCTGGATTTTATCTCATGAGATAAGCAGTTACTGCCAGCAGCAGGTCCCCTCTTTACAAACTTCTCAACGTTTCTAGTTTCGACAGGAAGTTTTGAATTTAGGATTCTGCCAGCCCCAGTTTGAACTTTTGAGCCCCGCATTTGGGGACATCAGTGAATTGTCGCAATGGAGCGTAAATCAAGTGCATCAGGTGGATGAGCAATTTGTAGAGTAAACCCAGGTATGAAAGGCAAACTCCACTGTGCAAATAATTCCCCCCTCCCCACCCAAAAAAATAATATATATCTATATTTATTTGAAAGCACTATGTAGAAGATACCTCGATGAAAACATGTCTGCATTTAATTAGGTATTTTCTTTATTAGTGTTGTAACAGATGCCCTGTTCCTGGAGTTTTATTTTGCTTTGCCTGGATCGGTATACGAATCTAACCAAACGGATTTGCCCCAGCTGGTTTGTACACCAAATAATGTAACACCCAGAGCAGTCGTGTGCCTCTAATTGACTCACCAGACCCTACTGACACTTGCTCTAACCACAACACTGAACGTTCTAAGTGGTTCACTGGGTAGCCGTCGTTCGTATAAACAAACATGAGGCGGAGGCCATCTTGTTTTGTCGAACACGCCCAGCGGTTGTCGAGTGTATGGAACTATTTTCGGACACTCAGCGGCCCGAACACCGCTGAGACTTCCAGAATTACCTATGTTCATTCCAAGTCATCCGAAAGAGGCAGCGTTTGATAAAACCAAACTCCGGAACGAGGAGCACACGACTAGCTTTCTCACGTACAGTTATTTGTGATATTTCGTTGCAATTGAAGCTCCCGAAAGAGACCAGCCGCACAACCTGAAATCTATTCTGGGCAGGAGACTCGTGTGCGGTCGGTCAGAAATAAGACTTCCATAAAAATTCTGAAACCCTGAACCGATCTAGGTGATTTTTGGATTTGTTGCTCATCCAGATCGGGGCTATCAAGTGACATACTTTTTTATGGAGTTTATGTGAGTTTTTGGGGTACTTTCAAGTTGTCTGAAAATTATGTGGAGTGTGATACACTGAACCCTGTTATTGGTCTGTAATTGTATATTGTAGTCCCTCACAAGGTCCATGTGGGAATGCCTCTTGCATGGGGATTGTCATAAAAGGCCAAGTGTGGCACCATTGAAATCAGTCCACTTTACCCTCAACAAGCAGCCTTGTCTCGTGATTGTAGGGAACAGCTATAACCACTAGCTCTTCTAAGAGCTATACTGGATTCATGGTCTGCTTGGAGATTGCTTTGGGATTACTGCAGCGCTACTCACACCAGGGTAGAAGGACGTCTCTGGCAGTGAACACCTCATCTCATGGGGTGACCGGTACAAGGGTGTATCTATCTAAATATAATCTTGTCTGCAGCCTTTACAAACTCTCCCCTTCTAACCCCTGTAACGGATCACCTGGCACCCCGACTGGGTACCTCCTTTGAAGGATGCTCCTAGCGCTTCCTGAGGGTTTCCAGCACGCCAGCAAACACCATAACCACCGTAGACTCCTTCAGAGAGCAAAAACAGGAACAAGCTCTTAGCAGTGAATATAACAAGAGAGTATGACTAGCATAGCAATTCCTTGTAGCAGGTTCCCCCAATAAGAGACGGCACTCCAAATTGAGGGTGAAGTAGAACTGAACTTTTATTCAAACACTCTGCTTTTATGCTGATTCTACAACCATAGTACCGCCCACAGGATTTTGAAGTACAACCAATCAATATGTTACAACACATCTAAACACTCCCATTCATGACATCAGAAATCCTCCCCTCTGCTTGTGATAAAATTATCTCAACACAATAGACTAACTTAATCACAGGCAGAAAATATACAGTTTTTACAAAATATTAAATGACCACTATAGTGCCAGGAAAACACTCCCGCCGGACTGGATGGAGAGGAAGGGGTTAAAATCTTACCTTTCTCCAGCGCCGGGCGGGGATCTCTCCTCCTCTCCGCCTCCTCTTCGGCTGAATGCGCATGCGCGGGAGGAGCTGCGCGCGCATTCAGCCAGTCTCATAGGAAAGCATTCATAATGCTTTCCTATGGACGCTGGCGTCTTCTCACTGTGATTTTCATAGTGAGAAGCACGCAAACGCCTCTAGCGGCTGTCAATGAGACAGCCACTAGAGGCTGGATTAACCTATTTATTAACATAGCAGTTTCTCTGAAACTGCTATGTTTATTAAAAAAATGGGTTAACCCTAGCTGGACCAAGCACCCAGACCACTTCATTAAGCTGAAGTGGTCTGGGTGCCTAGAGTGGTCCTTTAATAACTTCCAAAATATACATGCCATTCACATAAAACATTTTCAGAATCAGCACACACACTCAAAAATCATACAAATGCCTCCAGTAGTTCAAAAGTTAGTCGGGAGTCCTTTTCTGCCCAAAACAGTTCCATAGATTTGGGCTGTGCGGTCGGTCAATTTCATACAAGAAAAATGTCTAAGTCTCATTCGAATGCACGAATGGGGCCGTTTGTACAAATAGTACAGCATAACCTGGCGTTTGATTTGTCGAACGTACTTCGACTTTAGCCAAAGTGGATGAGAAGATAAACTTCAGCGGTGTTCGTGCCATCAAGTAGCCGATTTCAGTTCCATGAAATTGACGGCAAAACACAACTGACCACGTGCGAATGAACTAAAATGCAAATGAACTGACCACGTGCGAATGAACCACGTGTTCGGCTGTCGAATGGCGGACACTCCGATTACTTCAGCTGCATCCGAAGTGCCATAACAAAGCTGCAGGCCTTTTCCCAGAGTACTTAAAGGGCCAGAAACAGTGCAGTACAATACGCCCAAATACGGTCTTTAAATGACAATACCCCCAAAAGCTCATGGCAAACTCTCTTAACCCCTTAAGGACACATGACGTGTGACATGTCATGATTCCCTTTTATTCCAGAAGTTTGGTCCTTAAGGGGTTAAAGGGGTGAGTTTGCTACAACTCCGCACAGACTTTCGGTAGCTGTCCAATCACAGACTACCCAATACAGCTCAATGAGAAGTCTTTGCAAGAATTGATGCCACTTGAGTTTAGCTCCACAGAGCTAACCAAACCAGGAAGTAACAGGACAGTGTCAGACAGACGCCGGTATAACCAGGTTAATTTATTAAAGTGAGAATTGCTATTGAAATCTACACTTTTTGTAAAATGAAATCATAATAAAAATCTTCACACAAAGCATTTCACCAAGATAAATTGGACAGTCCCTTTGATTTATTAAAGTGACACTGTAGGCACCCAGACCACTTCAGCTAATTGAAGTGGTCTGGGTGCTGTGTCCCTTTTACACCTAGTTTCAGAGAAACATTGCGTCACTAAGTCTGCCCTTAGCCTACCAGACAGCCGTTATGTGACGCTGGACGTCCTCACGCTCTGCATGAGGACCTCCAGCATCGATTCAATGCTTTCCTATAGGGGAGGTCTAATGCACACGCAGCATTTGCCGGGCATGCGCATCAGACCCAGCGCCGAGAGACATCAGCACTGGGATCAGGTAAGTAAATAAAGTGTGTGAAGGAAAACCCCATCACTGTTTCGGCTATATACCATCATGTACCAGTTTTGTTCAGTTCCCGAACCGAGACCAATTAGAACATAGGTAGTTATGTATCTTGTATGAAAACCACAGAGAAAATCTTTAAGAGAATGCACCACTGGGTAGCCTCCACTAAAGGACCACTATAGGCACCCAGACCAGCTTAATGAAGTGGTCTGGGTGCCAGGTCCAGCTAGGGTTAACCCCCCCCGCCCC